AAGTGATTTTTAAGACACAGCTTAGTCTGTCTACTCAGACTCCAAGGTTTTTCTTTACTGATAACAGACACAGCTGGCCGCACCAGTCTGAGAAAGACACCTTGTTTATCTTCTCACTCTCTCCCCTCTGAAAGAACTAATTTTCTCTTCTCACAGTTAACTAGTGGTAGTTGTTCGTTGTCTGTTGGCCTGAGCGGATGGTTCTGTCTGAGTCGCTCTGAGGAGAGGTGCCTGTGGCGGGCACCTGCCTGTGAATGACCTGGATGGATGGATGTTACTAATATGCCGAGAAGCGCTGTTCTGAGACGACCGCGCCTGGAGCCACTGGAAGCTCCTTAGGGGTGAGACGAGGAGTCTTCTCAAACCCCTGTCGTCATGACGGACGTTATCCATTTTGGCGGACTGGGATGCCGACAATCTCAAAACAGCCTACCTGCCTGCGGTCTCATGCTGTGAAGACATCAAAAGGTAGACAATTGTTTACTGAGATAAAAGTCGAAGGAAGTCTAGCCCTCGGAGATGTCTGGTCCTGACGCTATTTGCTGGTCTGGTCTCTAATTTAAAGAACAAGTGCCAAATTCACTAATCTTCTTTTCCTCCTATTTCTTAAAAGCTAAATCTATACCTTTACTCTCTTATTTACTTAAAATCTAGTTAAGCAGCGTACCAGTAAATTACAACACCTTAAATTTACTGTTTTTGTGTCAACTCTGAGTGGAATTTTTATGTTGAAAATATAACGTGTGCTCATTTATCCATATAATAATTTTAAAAAATGTTTGTATGTTTAGTCTGTTCATATATCTAAAATAAATTACTTTATTTTGAGAAATCTGTTCAGGTCACAAGTTTTCATTTTTCTCATTCATGATCAGAGGTGTGTTTCATTAAAACCTGATTTCATTTTGCAAGATCTTGAGGGATTATTTTGTGAAGGTTAGGCTGGTCCTGAGTTTCATAGAGTAATTCACTACACATTAGAGAAGAACCCGTCCAGAGGACCTATACAATTTTTTTCTTTTTGCTAAAAGCATATGTCACCAATAAAAATGTGGTTTAAAAACCTTTAGATAAAACATCTACAGTATAATTATCAATAGTGTTTTTCTACTGATATTACGGTAACAAGACTGGCGTCTAAAAAGCTCACACTTGGTTTTAACGCTTTTCAAATTGAAATCATTTCTCAGAGAAGGGCAGACATACCTCTGTGTGCTAGAGATCCTATCAGTCAAAGGAAGTGACATCATTTCATTTAGTTTATGTAGCTGTGGAGTGTAATTACACAAATTTAAAGGGAAAAATCACAAGGTAACAGAGTTGACAAAATATTCCCGGACACATATTTTTTAATGAAAAATGTATTTTTATTCTATTTACTGCAATATTATTGCATAATTTACTATTTAGGCAGGTTAGAAAAAGATAACATTGACATATTTAAAAAAAATTGAAAAATAAAGTTTATCCATCATATTTTAAGATGGGGAAAAAACAGTGACCAACTCGGACAGCAAGAAGTTGTGTTTATTGAACTATATAAAACACATTTAAATGTAATTATATCAATGTTATGAATTGTGACATACTATGATCCATATAAATAATCAATAAATTATTAAAATTAAAAAAATTAAAAATTTCCAACAAAGTAGGCCAAAAATATTGATCCTGGACACCAAATGTATCTCCAATTATAGAATCACCCAGATAATGTAAAATTCAGCTGTTTTTCTTTACTTAATGGCCTAAAAAGATTATCCCTGTGATTGCTATATTTGTTACAATGAATCAATACATGTCAAATCTTGTTCTTCAATATTCTTCTCTGATGTTTATATTTATTATAATATATGATCACATGTTCCACTGTCTCTGTGCACAATAATCAGTTTCCACTTTCATGTTTTCCAATGATAAACAATGTGCTGTTTAATCTCGTGTGTCCAAGTCTCATACGAAATAAAATGTCTTCTTCCTTTCTATTTTTACAACTCCAAACTCTTGTCCCACCCACCGTTTCTTCCAAATTATAATAAAACCGCCCTTTATTGTGCCTATCCCAAAATTCTTGCCACTTTACTTTGATCTTCTCTTTAATACTCTTTAACTTTGCTTTGCTGTAATTACATGGAAAGTCAACAACTCTTGTAGATGCTCCTTTCTTTGCATATTGATCTAATTCATTTCCTTCAACCCCTACGTGAGATGGAACCCATAAAAACACACCTTCTCTTCTAATTTGAAATAATCTATGTAATGTTTGTTGTATTTCATAAATAATATCCTGTCTTGACTCCAACTTCATATTCTGAATATGTGTTGATGCACTTCAGGAATCTGAAACTATTAATTTTTCTAAAGCACTGTCCTCAGGGAACATGAAACAAAGAACAAACTAAAGAAGAAAAACCAAAACTTCAAAGGTTYTTATTGATCAAAATAAAAACAGATTTTCTCTCATTGGATTAAATCAATAAAACAGAGAGAATCTACAAACATTTGAGCTTTTTATTCTTCTTTTAGCTGTTCCCTCTGCAGGGGTCCACAGTGAGTTCTCTCTGTCTTCTGTGTATCATTTTACTGAATAATATTTTAAAATGACGCTGAGACTAAATGTTTTATTAATCAAAATAAAAACAGATTTTCTCTCATTAGATTAAAGCAATTTCACTGCAGAAATCAATAAAACAGATTCTACAAACATTTCTTTCTATTCTTCTTTCAGCTGTTCCCTCTGCAGGGGTCCACAGTGAGTTCTCTCTGTCTTCTGTGTATCATTTTACTGAATAATTATTTAAAGAAATAATAATATATGTTAAATTATTCTGTTCAAAATTATAGACACACACACACACACACATATA